AAAAAGTAAAGAAAATAAAAAAAATTTAAAAATAATAAAATTAAAAAAAAAACAGTAATACTAACAATAATTCTATCAAACTTCTTGTAAAAAATCCAACACAAATATTGCTAATGCTTAAAACAAAATTTATGAAACTAATAATATTCGAACTCACCTCTATATACGTGTTTGTATGTATATACGATGACGAGAGAAATTTATAATCACTATTTGAGAGTATACATGGGGTAAACCCTATTCATGAGTAATATCCCTCAAATTGCACATAAGGAATAACTCGTACTAAGAAGACTTTGTGCGACGGGCTTGACCATATAAATTATATTTTTGATATTTTTTGACTAAAATTATATTTTTGATATATGTATTTAGCATTAATCATAACTTGTTGCATTGGGACATAGTAACAATAATCATTATTGTGTGGACCATATTTTATATATATATTGTAATAATGTGCATTCAGTACAAAAATAATGAGTGAATTCCATTTTTGGTCCTATTGTTATAGGGGCTTTTCCAATTTTAGTCCGCCATAATTATTTTTGCCACATTGCGTCCACTATTATTAAAAAGTGTTCCAATTTTAGTCCACGAAAAATCTTAAAGTGGACTAAAATTGGAACACTTTTTAATAATAGTGGACGCAATGTGGCAAAAATAATTATGGCGGACTAAAATTGGAAAAGCCCCTATAAGAGTAGGACCAAAAATGGAATTCACTCAAAAATAATGTACTTTTAATATATTAAAAATGTACATTGTATTCAGGGGATGTACATTATTTGTGTACTGAGTGTACATTATATTGTATAATGTAAATTCAATACACAAATAATATACATTTAATATATTAAAAATGTACTTTATGTTATGGTCCGCGCAACATTGTGTAAACCATGGTCCACACTCCACACAATAATTTTAGTCATTATTGTGTGGACCATGGTCCACACAAGTTGTGTGAACTATATTTTGTATACTGTAAAATAATGTACATTCAATACAATAATAATGTATATTCAGTACAAAAATAATGTACATTGTATTCAGGGGATGTACATTATTTTTGTACTGAATGTACATTATATTGTATAATGTACATTCAATACAAAAATAATGTATATTTAGTATATTAAAAATGTACTTTTTGTTATGGTCCACGTAACATTGTGTGGACCATAATTTACCCAATAATTTGCCTACAAACAAATGCCCAACTACTATATATATACTCAAGGGCCCAATAAAAAGTGGTGGCCCAAACCATTTTTCTGTGGTCCACATCTAAAAGCAGTCGTTATGCTATGGACCGTATCCAGCATGCATGCTGGACACGGGTAATAGTGCCGTTAGGCACTGTTATCTTCTTTTTTATTTATTTATTTATTTATTTATTTATTTTTTATTTTTAATTTCAGACCGCTTCGTTATAGGAGTATATGTTCATAATTTTATTACTATATGTTAATAACTGTACATTCATAACTCTATAACTGTACATTCATAACTCTATAACTGTACATTCATAACTCCATAATTGTACATTCATAACTCCATAATTGTACATTCATAATTTTCGAAGCTCTATGTTCACAATTTTAGAGCTCTATGTTCATAATTTTATCACTATATGTTCATAATTGTAAGTTCATAATGTCAGAGCTCTTTGTTCATAATTCGATCAATAACTGTACATTTATAATTTCATAACTGTAGATTCATAATCTCATAACTGTAGATTCATAACTCCATAACTGTACATTCATAATCTTCTAAGCTCTATATTCACAATTTTAAAGCTCCATGGTCATAATTTTATCACTATATGTTCATAGAAGTAAGTTCATAATGTTAGAGCTCTGTGTTCATAATTTCATAATTGCATAATTGTACATTCATAACGGCATAACTGTACATTCATAATCCAAAAAAAAAAATAAAATAAAATAACGCTGTTAACGCCGTTAACGGCAAAACACGCGCGATTTTTTTTTTTAAACTAAATGACGCATTTTTTTTGAAAAACGACGTCGTTTTGGGCTTGTGTCCACAATGGGGGTCCAGGGCATAATTTGCCCATCTACAACTGTATGGATCATAAATAAAATGTATGCTTTTAATATATTAAATGTATATTATTTATGACCCAAATTCGATTGGCCCAGGATGCATGGGAAACAATATGGTAATCCATCCCAATTTGTGTGGAAATAGGTCTTAGGTTATATATGTCCTAGGTTAATATAATGTAGAGTTCTAGTTGGAGTAATGGTAGGACTAAGCTAACTAATAGACATATGTTTTTCTTCTATAAATAGGGACGTACATTGTCCCATGATCTTGCATTCCAGTTTACGAATTGTTCGTGTAATTAGAAAATATAGTTTAATTTCATCAATATATTTTATACTCCCTCATTCTAATTTATAAGGCTATACTCGTCTTTGAAAGGGAGGGATGGAATTGCGATCATATGTGACATCGCCACTTCAAAGGGTTACAAGATTTGCAAGCCATTCAAATCACAACATTAATAACCAATGCCATACAAAAGAAAAGGTTGGGAAGAATACAAAACAAAAGGTGAGTGGTCCAAAATTATTTTAAATCCAATTATATATATGAATGTAAAAAATAGTGAGCGAATTGCAAATTTTTGAGCAACAAGTTGTTATTAAACATTAATTAATCAAACGCTCATATTGATTGTTTATCCAAATCAAACAACTAATAGTTATCAAATAAATTATAATTAACTGATAGACTAACTATTTTACCAAACCGGACAAATTAAGTACTAGTTAATTAAAAAGTTGACTTGTAAAATAGGTTGATTATTAATTTATATTTAATATAAAAGTGATCCAAACAACACATAAAAGGTTAAATAGTATGCGTTAATCCCAATCCTATTAGGACTAAGTCGGCGGTAATATTCTTAGTTAAAAGCGGGAATCCCATACTCTAGCCGACTTCTCACGCAGTACTATTGTTTCCTATTCTAGTTTTTTGGATTTCTCAATTTCCAAATTCCAATTATGGCGGTGACGATGAAAAGAAAGCGTTTGATCTATCCATCAAAAGCCAGTAATAGGGTTTATCTCCAAACCCTAGTGGACAGCGGCTTGGCACGGCGGAGTACAACCAGAATGGTCGCCGGTGCATTCTACATACCCAAACACAATCGGGCAAAGCCTCTCGGAGAAGACTCGCACTTTGTCTGTTCGGAGGCGCAGACGATCGGCGTGGCGGACGGCGTCGGCGGCTGGGCAAAGAGGGGCATCGATGCCGGAGAGTACTCCAGAGAGCTGATGTCTAACGCCGTCTTATCCGTCCGTCATCAGAGAGACACAGTTGGCACCGTGGACCCCATGACAGCCCTCGATGAAGCCTACATGGACACCAAAGCACAAGGCTCTTCCACGGCGTGTATCTTGACGTTAGTTGACGACTGCGTGATTGCCGTCAACGTCGGCGACAGCGGCTTCGTAGTCCTACGCGACGGGAAAATCGTCTACACCTCCCCGGCTCAGCAGTCGCGGTTCAACTGTCCGGTTCAGCTGGGGAAATCGCGCGGCGACCCAACCGCGGCTGAGAAATTCGAGGTGAAGGTGAAACCGGGAGACATCATCGTAATGGCGACGGATGGATTGTTCGACAACGTTCATGAATCCGAACTGGAAGATTTGGTTAACAGATCGGGCTCCGACAAGAAGCTGATGAAGTTGGCGAGGAAGATTGCTCGGTACGCGCTTAAGAATTCCCTGAACGGAAACATCGATACTCCATTCTCGGCGTCGACCAGGATCGCCGGAATCGACGAGCATGCAATCGGCGGCAAGTACGATGATATAACAGTGGTAGTTGCTTATATTCAATAAACATAATGATGATCATCCGATCCAGATATCAAGAAACATCATCGTCAATCTTTTTCTAATCTGTTTTCATCATATCACCGCAAAATTTAATTTGTATGTACGTAACTACCTATTCAATCTGATTTTGTAAAAGTACATAATGCAATTGAATAGAATGTTTCATCGATAAATTCAAACGTTAGGGCTTGTAACGATTATGTTTACGGTCTAGAGTTTAGGGTTTCAAATGAAATACAATTGTAAACACAAAAATTCAATTATACATTAAAATTAAAGGTTGGATTACACGTTAATTAAGTAGTAACAATGCTTCAATTGAATGTCTTGATCTTTAATGGAGTGTTGGATTAATATGTCTAGCATGATAGAAATATATTTTCATGATCATTTCCGCTGTTTTCTCATTTATATTGAGTGTGGATAATGCTAATTTGTATGATGTACTAGTAAGACTAAAAAAAATATTGAAATATGTTAAATGGATTTGGAATAATTACTAGTAATGCTTTGGGTGATGACTTAGATGGCTATATACATTTTATTTGTATCTTTTTTTTGATTGGTTGTGCATAAAGGAAGTTTTGGGTTGAATCACGACAATTCGCGACTATAATATGAGACGAAGAACTCATTGCAACCACATTGTAGACACCACAGTTCCAATAACCGTAGGGTCAGACATCCCACAATTCACCCTTTTTGTTCAGGTTTCAGACAGTAATTCCATGGTGAAATTTTGAAAACAAGAAACTGATATGTGGAAGCATATTGGAAATTGTTTCCATATATGCCTCAAAGGCTTCATTGTTGTTATTCTTGGATTATTCCTTTATTCTTGAATCACCACTATTAGCAACTACAATACGGGGCGAAGAAATCACTGCAAACACAGCTGTAGATTGCACAGTTCCAGCAGCAATATTGTTACAGAAACAAGCAGAATGGCATTGAAAAATGCTCTTGATGGAAAGAGAACTGGTTTTGACAATTGGGAAGAAGAAATTAAGGGAAGCAAACAGGCTTGACCATTCAGTATTAATGCCATAAAAGCTTTTATATACAGCATTTAATACGAAAATATGAAACTGCATATACAAAAATTGCAACTCACATAAAACGAATTTACTTCCTATCCTGTTTTGTCTAATATAAAAATGTATACACAACATTTGAATATTAATCCTAATCAACAGCAGGCAGAGAGAGAGAGAGCCACAAAGGTATCAACAGTACCTTTGTAATCTACATGATGTCACAACCTAAGTAATTTCTAGCTCCACATCAGGTATAACAAAGGGCTCTGTCCTGTACTAAATCGTTCTCATTTTCCACTTGATTCAGCAAGCCATCAGGGAGTACAATTCAAACATTCAATGTTGATCTGGTATATTGTCCTTCAGAATTTCATGCAAAGATTTTGGACCTCAAAGTCTTGTTTTACAGTTAGGCTAGAATTCCCTGTCTACTCCCCTTAAAAATCTTCTTCAAAAAGGATTGTCATATCTGGATATTCAAGGTCATACCTCTATATTTTCCTCAAAATCATATCCTAAGTACTGACCATCAAGCTCTCCACCAGCCACATCATGTTGCATCAAGTAATCAAGATTTTCATACCCCAAGTCTGATCTACCACCAACAAGAACATCAAAACTGGGCAAGGACTCTAACAACTCTTCTCTCTCCACATCAGCATCCAACTTCATCATCTCCGGGTATTTTCATTTGCTGCTCTTTTTGGATTAGTTTTAAATGAATTAAGATGTGTTTCAACTGGGGCTGAGCCTGTTTCCCCCCATCATTGACTGGGGACAGTGTCTTTGATGGTTTCCGTGTGGGAGCCCCATCATCAGGTCCATGCAGAAACACACATTTTTCAGCTCTATTGCAAAATCCATTGTAATAGAAGAAACAGGGAACACCTGTCTTGTTCACAGGCAAGTAGGAGCAGATTCAACTCATTTCTCATTACAACTCTCTAATGGCTGCAGATGGCATAGAAAAAAGGGTGCTTAGCTGGGATGGAACAGAACTTTTAGAAAGTGATTATAAAAAGCAGTTATATTCAAGCAGAGTAACGGTTAAAGCCAAGATTCAACAACTAATATAGACATCATTGAGACAGGCATAGAGTAGCAATATCACTGCGCCAGTACTCACATTCAATGCCCTGAAACCCAGAATCCATGCCATCAATGCAAGGAAAAACCAAAATACTAGTGTATTAATTCATATCCATCGTCTCTGGCAGTATGATACAGAATGAAAACGATGCAAACAGACAAGAAAACTGCATAAACGGAATACATGCAGCATTAGCATAGTAACACTATTCAACAAAATCAACTAGAATATAAGACTTAGACACATTCAGCAAATGATCATGCCAGTATCTGTTCTTATTTACCATGCCTTACAAGATACTCACTGACACACCGAAATGACCAATAACAGCAGTTTAATGTGAAACAAAGAATTCCATCTATCCTAATCCCTAACTTCACTCAAAACTAAAGTATATTCTTAAGGCACATAATTAAAATGTACACATACAACTGCCTGCAGGCCATAACATAAAACTAAAGTAATAAACACTATATCAGAGAAACAAAGTGCATGCTACAACATAATCCGTGCTTCGGTGTCAATTGTATAAATAAACGTATGTAACCACACTGTATAACATAATACGCAACAGCAATTTTGAATCATCACACATTCGCATCGATTTTGATACACTAGTAGATGTGCCCATTGATGAGCGCGTATACGCATATAAACAGTGTAATTTAAACCCTAGTCGGAATGTAATAAAGAAACCGCTACGTTGCAGATACCGATTTTCAAGAAATTCAACAACGGAGTTAGAATTGAAGAGCAAGAAATGATAATCAATCAAGAAATCAAGATACATTGAGGATTGAAAACATAAAGAAGAATAAAAGAAAAACGAAGAATTCGAAAATCGCATAAAATGTAACGGATAAAGAAGCGCTTACCTTCTTACACGTGAGAGGAGATGCCAAGAAGTAGACGCAATCAGTGTTGCATTTCTGCAATGCTTCCTCTATCTTCTCCCCTAAAAATTGTAAATGGGGAGAGAAGAGAAGAACGGACTCAAAATTCGAAGCGAGGTGGATGGGAGAAATCGCATCGCCTTCGCCATCTGCGTAAAGTGAGTACATATGTACGTATATTACGGATCACGTCCAACTTACATATGTACGTATATTACGGATCACGTCCAACTTACATATGTACGTAGAACTGTAGAATATTACGGATCACGTCCAACTTACATATGTACGTAGAACTGTAGAATATTACGGATCACGTCCAACTTACATATGTACGTAGAACTGTAGAAGAAGTGAAGGAAGTGCATCGAGTTTAATACGAGTTATAATGAGTTTTTTTTTTTTTTTTTTTTTTTTTTTTTTTTTTTTTTTTTTTTTTAATGCTACTGATTTTAATGGAGAAATGTCACTACATGTCATTTGAGCACAAAGTGTTTGGCGGTTGATGAAATTAAAGTTATTCTTAATTGAAGTTATTTTTAATTCAAATTTTTATAATATTAAGTTTAATATTAGTATACAATATATATATATATATATATATATATATATATATATATATATATATATATATATATATATATATATATATATATATAGGGTAGGGTTCTAGTGAGAACATGTGCTTAGGTGAGAACGTGAGAACACATCATGTGCATCCATCTAATATTTTTTAATGGTCTAGATTAGATTAAGTGTGTGCGAACGCGCATAAAATATGTGCAAACGCGATTTAGTGTGTTTGCACACATTTAATGCGCGTTCGCACACACTTAATCTAATCTAGACCATTAAAAAATATTAGATGGATGCACATGATGTGTTCTCACGTTCTCACCTAAACACATGTTCTCATATGATCCTAACTCTATATATATATATCGAGGCTTTGGTTCCCATGAGGTCTTTATTAAAAATGAGACCATAGATCCCATCACCACCATTAATTCCTTTAAAATTGATGGCTTAGATTGAAAGAGTTATAAAGATTAATTAAGGATAGATTTTAAGCATAAGGAGAAAAAAATAATTGTGTTAGTGTGATTATTTTTGGTTAGAATAAAAATGTAGTATTCAGCACAATAATAGACTAACTAAGAATGGTAATAAACAATATTACATTGTGATTTGGCATGAAAAAATGTTCAGGATTTGTTTTAGCGGTATGTGCATGTATTTGAGTGGGTTTGTGCATCAAATACTTTGGTTTATTTCTTAACGTGCTGTAAAAAAAAACCCCAACGCCGTAGTGTTCTGGTATTTGGCAGTGCGTGTGTGAAATTGATAAGACGTGTGCGCGTTTGTGGTTTGGCTTTAGGGAAAAGTAAATTGGGAGATGTTTAGATATGGTATGTTAATTTGGGTGTAAAAATATGTTCAGGGTTTGTTTGGCGGTATGTGCATGTATTTGTTTGGGTTTGTGCATCAAATACTTTGGTTTATTTCTTAACGTGGGGTAAAAACCCCAACGCCATAGTGTTATGATATTTGGCGCTGTGTGTGTGAAATTGATAAGGCGTGTGCGTGTTTGTGGGTTGGCTTTAGGGAAGGGTAAATTGGGAGATGTTTAGATATGGTACGTTAATTTAGGCGTGAAAATATGTTCAGGGTTTGTGTTGCGGTATGTGCATGTATTTGTTTGGGTTTGTGCATCAAATGCTTTGGTTTATTTCTTAACGTGGGGTAAAAAACCCCAACACCATAGTGTTATGATATTTGGCGTTGTGTGCGTGAAATTGATAAGGCATGTGCGTTTATATGGTGTTGGTTTAGAGAATTGGAAATTTTTCATAACCAGTTATAGAAAGTTTATTTGGGCTGGAAAATAGTTATCATAATTTGTGTGACTGTGAGTGCATGTCATTGTTTGGGCTTGTGCGAATTGTAGCATGTTATCTTTAAAATGTTATTTCTAGTGTTTGATAAATTTTTTTTAAAAAAAGGAAAAAAAATTGTTGAATTAAAATGTTATTGTATCATGTTTTCTTTAAAATGTTATTTCTACTGATTGATTAATTTTATAAAGGGAAAAAATTATGAACACGTTCAACGACGACGAGCGAGAGAGAATGAGATGCTGCCGGATGTTTGTCTACTGCGATGCTACCGGGGAAAACGCCAAGACACGAAATAATTCCCTTGCGTAAGGAAAACAACATCGCCGAATCAACTTCAAAAAGGCTGGAAATTAATGCATACGGCTAATTACAACCATACCCCCAGTAATATACACGGCAACTCATTTAACCTTGATCTCAAATACAAATCACACCCATTAAAAAATAAAAATAGACGCTTAGGATCGAATCTCATGATCTCACATAACTACTAAGACCTCACCGGATCGAAAATCTATATATATATATATATATATATATATATATATATATATAATCTGAGAGCGAGGAAATCAGAAGAGACAGGATTGCCCGATCATGCCGACGCCACTGAACCTGCGGAGAGGACGCTGCCGGGTCAGCGCCACCACTGTCCCCCGTAGAAGCCGCCAATGCAGTGACCGCCGGAGAAGGATAGGTGCCGTCGACGAAACCGAGCAAACCTTGACCCTACAAGAACGGGATCATCTTGTCCTCCAAAATAGATAATTACACGCGGTGAGTTTAAGGGAAACAAAGCGGTGTGCGGAGGAAAAGCTATTCTTTGGGAAAACAGGGGCAGGAGCAGCCTCGGTAACAGTCCGTTCGGAAGAATCGCAAGTAGAGCTGTCATCATCCATACCCAAGGCTTCCATGAAAAAAAGTGATAAAAGACCTGGAAACAACTGATACCAGATGAGGATTGGAATTCAGTAATCAATGTAATACAGGTTTGTATAATGATAATATAGGAAGATAGAAAGAGAGTCCGATTAAACTAGTAGAGTCCTGGTAGACTAGTAATATTAGAGTCCTAACAGAGGGAACCAGACATTTACTTGTTAAAAATGCTAATTGTAACGTTTTTTCAAGTTCGTGTATTGATTTGGAGCTTTTCCAAATTTGATGACTTAATTGCTATTTCCCATTGATGGTCTATTTGTACATTTCCCTTCTTAATAATAAAATGTTCCAACCTAAAGAGACTAACAACAAAATATATTTCATGTAACTATATAAAATCAAAATAAACAAGAGTCTATTACACACACACACACACACACACACACACACACACACACACACACACACACATATATATATATATATATATATATATATATATATATATATATATATATATATATCACATAGAAATTAATCAAAATAAACAAAAGTCTATTGTATATCACATAGAAATTTTGTTTAGTTATTTACTCCGTGTATCTTTATATCGATTTATTAACAATAAATTAAGTTTTGTGGCTAACAATCATTAGAGTTTTAGCTTGAAATTTTCAATACATATTATGAGGAAAAAGGGGCTAACTGCATAGTATCTTGAGAACATCCTTTAATTTCTCTTTTGCATATATATATTTTATCTCCTCCCAGCATCTTTCATTCCAGACAATGAAATCTTGAACATCAAGATCAAAAAAATAATAATAATAAATCTTTTTGTGAAGCAAATCACAACTAAGGATGGTGGGTTTGAAGAGATGCATTGTGGCATTATTGTCTGTTGTCTATCTAACCTTCCATGCTGATGCCGCTAACAACTTCTGTGCCACCGCCATTAACAAACGGCTTTGTGAGAAGATGGTGAAGGGAGCACCAAACTGGAACAAGGCAATAACCAAGGCCATAACTGTGGCTCAGAGGGAACTAGCTAAGGCCAGTAAGTCAGGAAACCCCAATTGCCAAGAGGCCTACAAAGACACAAAAGACAAGTAAGTATCTTTATCAATTAATTAATATGCATTGCATGCATGCAAATCAAAAGAGGCCAGCCAGTTCCAACTATGAAAAAATCAATCTAACCAGCACTTTGCCCATTAATTTGGCTGGCCCGGTGCGAATCGAAATTAGGATCTATTCAAGACACCTCGATCATGGCCTGACTAAAGCTGATGACCAATATAAATATATGTATAATTTGTATCAGATTGAAGGAGAGCAAGGTGACAGCTAAGCACGGGAATAAGGATGGTGACTTGAACTTCCAACTCTCAGCAGCACTAACCAGCCTTGAAGACTGCACTAATGCACTCAAAGATTTGAAAGAAGACGCATCTGCTGCTACGAAATTGAACCATGGTGTCGAGCAAGCAATCAGAATTTGTTTGGCTATTGATACATCCAGTGGCGGACCCAGAAAACTTCTTCAATGGGGGCGAAACGCATTAAAACAAAATAGATAGTTTGATAAAAAATAAAACAGTTAAAACTATAGCCATAAAATAATTCGAATAAGAAATACATTAAAATATTCATAACAAAATATGAAACATAATTAATTTGATAAAATAATTCGAATAAAAAATACATTATAAACACATATTATTATTAGTATAAAAGAAAGTTATATATATATAGAAAGTTATATATATATATATATATATATATATATATATATATATATATATATATATATGTGTGTGTGTGTGTCTAAATCTCACAATTAATTAATACAAAGTATTTAAAAGTCATATAAAACATATCATGCATTCGAACCCTGGCCACTTGCAAAGACACGCCATGTGCCTTACAACATGATCTATTTATCTTTTATTAATTTTTATCTATTTTATTATATTTATACTAAAACTTGTACTATATATACATATATACATATATACATACAAGGGTTATATATGGGGTGGGAGTGGGGTTAGTGGGGGCAGCTACCCTATGCTGGGTCCGCCCCTGGATACATCTAAGTTATCCGCCTAACAAACACAATAATGTATGTGGAAATCGAAGTGTTCATTATTTTCAAGTTCTACTCAAGATATCAAATTGTATATACTCAATATCATATTAAATATATACTCACATAGAAAATCATGATGTAGGTCACCCATCCACTTACTCTTTTCAAAATTTGTGAGGGAGACTCACAAGAAGATGATCACAATAATAAGATGGATATATTCTTAATAAATGTAATAAAAATATTAAAAATATAATAAACTAACAACAAAATATATTTCATATAACAATATGAAAATTAAAATAAACAGAAGTCTATATATATATATATATATATATATATATATATATATATATATATTATATTACATAGAAATTTTATTTGATATGTTGATGGGGGATCCATCACTTGCAAATGCAAAAGTGTTCATTTAATTCACCTTGTTTAATTTCTTACTACGTGAAGCAAAAAGTATTTCCCCAAGAAGAAAAAATCACAAGAAAATGTTACCTACAGTACAAAAGACCAAATGTAGTGGAGTAATTTTGTTTTTAGTTAAAATGTAATATTTTTCTATCAGCTCATATAAAATATTACATTTTAACTAAAAAGTATTATATTACTGTCTCACACCGGACTTATTCATTATTCCGCCCCTACCTACTCAAAGTTGGTGTCACTGTGAGAGTCGAACTTAAACCCTAACCTTACTTGGTTAATTGGGGTTGTCCCTTACTTATTATGATATTTTAATTATACGTGTTGGAAATTAATTTATAATTGCCGCAACCGCATAGCATGTTGAGTGCATCCGTTGTATACGAACTCCCATGCATAAAAGATGATATGAGGAAATAATGGCAGACCCCAAACGGCATAGCAGCGTGTAGATTGAGTTCATTTTTTATTGTATTTTGTGTGTGTATATAATTATATTATAATTATATATACATCTTTCATTGCAACTCTCTTTGAGCTGAGGAGGAAACCCACAACAGAGAATGGTATGTTTCAAGAGATACATTATTATTGTGGCATTGTCTATGGCCTCTCTAACCTTGACCACCCTTCATGCTGCTCCCCCGGCCCCTAAACAAGGCTTTTGCGGCACCGCCGTAGACAAAGATCTCTGTGAGAAAACAGTGAAGGGAGCCAAAACTTGGGATGATGCAATAACCGCGGCCACCACTCAACTAGCCACGGCTACTAAGTCGGGAGACCCCCAGTGCAAAGACTTTTACAAATCTACGGACGACAAGTAAGTATTCCCTCCCTCCCGACATGTGTGACATGTGGGTCCCATGCACCGGTCCAGGTCAGGTCCCAAAGTGACTCTTCGCTCACGTGTTCTTAGGTTCATTGGGTACGCCGCTGCCCTGTTCAGTTAAGGGGATTAAATCGGTAGCTCTTAGCTCGGGGCAAAGCGACTTATACAACTCTCAAGTCTGATCGTCTGGTGCTTAGCTCGGTCTGAATTTAGGTCGAGAAATTGAGCATATTAGGTCAGTGATGATCGGTCTGGATTTAGGTCAAGAAATTGAGCATAATAGGTCGGTGATGATCAGACTAGGACCCTCCCAAGTAATGGGTGCAACACCGACCAAGTGTATGTTAGAGCTAGTCAAGAGGGTAAAGAACTAAGTCCAGCATCCTGGCTCTCGAAAATGTGATGATGGCGAAATAAAGTTTTATTTCGTCCGGACTACAAACTATAACTTTTGGCGTAGTGATAAGCGTTTCACCTTGATAGAAAGAGAGTTGGATTTTGATAGGTTGTTTAATTTGATTAATAATATATAATTTGTTGGATTTGATTTGATGAATGTGGCAGATTGAAGGAGTGCATGAAGTTAGCTAAAAGTGGGGACAAGGACGGTAGCTTGAATGTCAAACTCACAGCGGCATCAACTAGTATTAGTGACTGCAGTGGTGTAGTCAAAGATCCTGCTAAAAAGAAAGTGAACACTGCTGTCGATCAAGCCATCAAAGTTTGTTTGGCCGTTTGAAAAATCCAAGTCTAATTCTGCCATCTAAAAATAAATTAAATTTACTTTTTCGTTGTTGTATGTTGCTTCAAAAGATTAAACGCTAATAACATGTTGCTTTGGAACGTAACTTTAAAATATATATATATATATATATGTTAGACTAGAATATCACATGCATCATAATTATGTGATTACAGGATCGACTAACCTCCAGCCATAACTCTTTACACGGTTGCACGATCCGGACTGCTGCAGAGGTAAGGAGTATTTTGTCTTTCACTTTACTCAACTCTCTCTAGATGGTGTATGAGGTATGTAATGTGAGCAGTGAGAGGACTAGTGACCTTATATAACAACTGGCCATCATTGTGGTTGATTGTCTTTAGGTCTCCTAAACCCTAACTAGACTCCTAATCATAATGGTAGTCTAGTTATTAGGTTATTAGTGTTGCACCACATATCAAATACTGAATATTATCATAACTTATCCTAATGTTATAATAATAGTAACGGATAAACGTTACATTCTCCCACTTGGTGCAAGCACTACCACTCAATAACAGAAAAACACCAACCATAATGATATGTTCTCATTAGCGCGAGTAGTATCCATTATGATCAAATGCAAACTCCCATTGAGCACTTAATTAGGAAACAAAACCCAACGAAATAAACCCTATGTTTATTCCAAGTCCCTGAAGTACATTTTCTCATCAATATAAAGTAAATGAAGGTGTACACACTTAATTGAGAAAATGTCTGAATGCCAAAGAATTTTATTAAAACTAAATGTATATATACAAATTACAAATTGGGCGAAAGTCCCATTTTCTGAATCAGATCCTTGAACTTAAATGGTGGCATGCCTTTAGTCAAGGGATCTACTAACATCAACTCAGTATGAATGTGTTCAATGAATACAACTTTATTTTTGACACGCTCCCTAATTGCTAAGAACTTGATGTCGATGTGCTTAGTTCGACTTCCACTTTTGTCGTTCTTAGCTAGGAAGACTGCAGCTGAGTTGTCACAGTAGACTTTCAATGGCTTAGATATAGAATCCATAATTCTAAGCCCAGAGATAAAATTCTTTAGCCAAACACCCTGTGAAGTAGCCTCGAAACAGGAAACGAACTCGGCTTCCATGGTAGAAGTAGCTATTAAGGACTGTTTAACACTTCTCCATGAGATAGCCCCACCAGCCATAATGAAGACGCACCCTGAAGTTGATTTTCGAGAATCCACGCACAGCCAGCAAAGTCCGCGTCTGAATAACCGACAAGATCTAAATTGTCCGTCTGCCTAAACCCAAGCTTGTAACCTTTGGTTCCTTTGAGATACCTTAGAACCTTCTTTACAGCTCTCCAATGGTCAAACCCCGGATTGTGTTGGTAACGCCCTAGCATTCCAACCGCAAAAGCAATATCCGGCCTCGTACAGTTCTCCATGGATTCCTTCTCCAAATCATTTTTCGGACATTGGTCCAAACTAAATCTATCCCCCTTAGATATGGGAGCAGCGTTTGGTGAACAATTTTGCATATGAAATCTCTCTAAAACTTTGTTTATATAGGTTTCTTGAGATAAACCCAGTATACCCCAGGACCTATCTCTATGAATTTTAATGCCAATAACATAAGAAGCATCACCCATATCCTTTATATCAAAGTTCTTAGAAAGAAATTGTTTCACATCACAAAGCATCCCCTTATCATTGGTGGCAAGTAAGATGTCATCCACATATAAAACAAGAAAGCAAATTTTACTCCCACTCACCTTTTGGTATATACAGTTATCTGAGGGATTTTCAACAAAACCAAATGAAGAAATTACCCCATCGAACTTGATGTACCATTGACGGGAGGCTTGTTTTAAACCGTATATGGATTTCTTAAGCTTACATACTAAATGCTCACCGCCCCTAGAAGAGAAACCTTCAGGTTGTTTCATATAAACCTCCTCTTCTAGATCACCATTTAGGAAAGCGGTTTTCACATCCATTTGTTGCAACTCAAGATTAAAATGTGCAACTAATGCCAGAATGACCCGAAGTGAATCTTTCTTTGATACAGGAGAAAATGTCTCCTTGTAATCGATTCCTTCTTTTTGAGTAAATCCTTTGGCAATAAGCCGGGCCTTGTATCTCTCAATGTTGCCTAATGAGTTTCTTTTAGTCTTAAAAACCCATTTACAGCCAATGGCCTTGGCCCCATTAGGCAACTCAACAAGATCCCAAACTCCATTGTCCTTCATGGAATTCATTTCATCTTTCATGGCTTCTAACCATAAGTAAGACTGTGCACAATTTGTGGCTTGAGAGAATGTTTCAGGATCATTTTCAGCCCCTATGTCAGATTCTTGTAGATACGAAACATAATAACTAGGAACTGCTGATCGCCTTATCCGAGTAAACCGTTTTAAGGTTGGACCCTCATCACCTTATACAGGCTGCGGGGCAACTACCTCTTCAGGAACTGGTGGCAGTTCTTGAATCGGTTCAGTTTGCATCGGCTCAGAATCTTGCTGTATATCCTGAGTTGGTTCAACCATTGGTTCGAAATCTAGTTCAGGCGGTTGCTGCAAGTCCTGAACTGGTTCTTCCAAAGGCTGATCCTCAACAGTTTGTGGAATCTCAACGGTAGGTGGTATATCTGCAGGCATAACTAAAGGAGCACTTCGGATAAGTACAACCCCACCAGATGACGTAAAAGGTTGAGAGTCAATATGATCGAAGGAAGGAACTAAGTCCTTAAACCGATCACTCCCACTAATCAAGTCATCTTCAAGAAATTTAGCATTCCTTGATTCCACTATCCTAGTAGTATGAGATGGACAATAGAACCTATAACCCTTAGAAGATTGTGCATATCCAATAAAGAAAGCACTAATCGTCCTTGGATCAAGTTTCTTCTCGTGTGGGTTATATATCCTCACCTCAGACGGACATCCCCAAACACGCATATGTTGCAAACTCGGTTTCCAACCTTTGAATAACTCAAACGGTGTCTTAGGGATAGCCTTGGTTGGAACACGGTTTAATATATACGTTGCCGTCTTAAACGCTTCATCCCACAACGACTTAGGAAGCTTAGAGTTGCTAAGCATACTCTGCACCATATCCAGAAGGGTCCGGTTTCTTCTTTCAGCTACACCATTTTGGTTCGGAGAACCAGGCATGGTGTATTGGGCAACAATCCCATGCTCTTGAAGAAACTTAGCAAAGGGATCAGGTGCTTGTCCATTCTCAGTATATCTACCATAGTATTCACCACCCCTATCAGACCTAACTATGTGTATTTTCCTGTTACATTGGTTTTCAACTTCAGCTTTAAATGATTTAAAGGCATCCAATGCTTCATGTTTATGATGAAGTAAATACACATAGGAAAATCTTGAGAAGTCATCAATAAAGGTGATGAAATATTTCTGACCAGGTATTGTCATATCAGGACAACATATGTCAGTATGAATAATTTCCAACAACGTTGAACTTCTATTGGCACCTTTCTCTGACTTGTTTGTCTGCTTACCCTAAATGCAGTCAATGCAAGTCTCAAAGTCAGTATAGTCTACAGTAGAAAGTACTCCATCCTTAACCAACCTTTTAATACGCTCAAGGGAGATATGACCTAATCTCCGATGCCACAACATTGAGGAATTGTCGTTAATACTACACCGTTTGGTGCCGTTTTGAACATGTAAAGAATTGTAAACTGAATCATTCTTTAATTTAAGACGGAAAAGACCATTAGACAATGTACCAGTACCAACACAAGTAGAATAACGAAATAACTTGATATTATTGGTATTAAATTCAAAAGAATATCCGAAGGGTACAAGTCTAGATACTGAAACTAAGTTCCTAGAAAAACTAGGAACATAAAAAGTCTTTTCTAATGTCAATACAAAGCCATTGTCCAAAACTAAATTGCAAACTCCGACAGCTTCTACTGGTGACGCAATCTTGTTTCCAGGGAAAATGCTACACTCAGTTCCCTTTGGCTGTCTCAGTTTTGTCATATCCTGCAAAGAGTTTGCAATGTGGATTGTTGAACCAGAGTCAACCCACCAGGAATTAGTATTAACTTCTGACATGTTAGATTCGAAACAAACAAAAGAAGATAAAATGTTACCTTTTTGGGACATCCATTTCTGAAACTTGATACAATCTTTCTTCATGTGTCCCTTCTTTTTGCAAAAGAAACACTTTTGTATCTTCTTAATGTCTGCTTTAGGGGTTAGTTTCCCCTTTGCAGCCATGGTAAGTCCCTTAGGCTTTCCAGACATTCTTTTAGGCCTTGTTGTGGCCATTAAAGCACTTTCCCCAAGCTCAGTTAAAAGCCGTGTTTCCTCTTGAGTACACATGGTAATCAATTGATTAATAGACCATTCATCCTTATGTGTATTATAGGAAATTTTAAATGCATTATAGTCCTGAGATAGGGTATTTAGTGCAAAGTGCACAACAAAGGCATCTGGAAGAATAATCTTCAACTTCTTCAATTGAGCCGCAATGTCCCTGAGCTGTATGATGTGTTTCCGCGTTCCCTTGACAGTGGAAAGACGCATATTGATAAACTGCATTATCAGGGTACTTGCCAGAGATTTGTTCGCGTCAACAAATTGATCATCGATGGCCTTGAGTAATGGCTCAATGTCCTCAATATCATCGACGGGACCACGAATCTCTCTGGCAATTTTAGACTTAATGAGGAATACGCCTAAGCGATTAGCTGTTGCCCATCGCTCGTATAGCGTTTTTTGTTCCTCAGTGCTTTGCGCAGTAAGCTCAGCAGGCTTCACAATGCGAAGAGCATAATCAAACCCTAATATTCCTAAATTCAATAAAACAGCATCTTTCCACTCTTTGTGATTATCATAATTGAGGATAGGAATATCAATTGTTATTGATTGAGTGATTGGAAGAGTGACTGTAAAAAGAAAATTGAAAGCTTGGTTAGAATTTTTCGAGGCACAAAAAATAGAGAGAGATACTGAAGTACATAATATTACCAATGTAAAATTATGCAAAGATAAATTCGGATGCCATAAAAATTGCCTGTGGGCTAAATTTTTACGCATAATAAATTTACCAAAACTGAATGGTGGAAACGGAATGAGTGCGATTTTAACTTTTCCACCCTTAATGACAAAACTACCAAAAC